TGCCTGTGTAAAATGGAAAGGGTGGTGGTGAAAGACCCTTTGTCCAGCATACAACACACACAGGTCGCCGCATTCGGCGCTTTTTTCAAAAGCCGGTGGCAGGCGTGGTAGTTATGCCCCTTTTGGACATATAGGTTCACGAGTTCAGCCGCAGCAGCGTCAGCGCTGGAGGGTGGAAATGTGTATTTTCGAATGGTGTGGAGTCGTGATTGGAGGCCTGATAGAGCCAAGCGCTGGCTCCCGGCGGTTGTGGAGTCCCGGATTTTCCAGGGTTGGGAAGGTTGCATGTAGGTGATAGTGCGTTGTGGGAGGTCGATGTTGAAACCGAGGAGATGAAAATCCTCCACCGGTTCGAGTTCCACAGGGTCGCCAAAGAAATTGTGGTGGATAAGGGTTTGGATAGCCGGGTGCTGAAGGAAATGTTCGTTGTGGACAATGAAACGGTTGTCAACATAGCGATAGTAAGTAAAGTGGAGGTCTGTGTGTTGAAGGAGGTTGTTGTGTATCTGATGCCAGGAGTGCTCAATGAGGGTGATAGCAACGTTGCATAGGGCTGGAGAGAGCTGGGATCCAATCCCGGCCCCTCGGATTTGTTTGTAAGTGTTGTTGCAAGCCCGGAAAATGCATGTGTCGAGGGCAAAAGCCACAATGGTGGTGATGTCGGAAGTCTGGATGGTGCGTTGGGTAGGGTGTTTGCGATGGTGTCTGCCAATGTGGGAGTGGTGGAAAGGATTGCCGGTGGCCTGGACATCCACCGTTAAGGTGTGTGTGGATTGCTGTTGTTGCCAGTGGAGAACAAGGGAGTGGACTGCATCGATGAGTCGGTGCTGGGGGACGGAGTTGAAAAAGCCGACCAGGTCATCGTTGGTGGCGTGTAGTGAGATGTCGGGTGGAGTTTGGGTGAGGTAACTGTGAAAGTGATGCCAAAGCTGAGGAATGGACATTTGGCCTGGATGCTGAGGGTAGAGGTGTTGGAGGATAATGTCGAGGGCACGGCTGGTGATGCGTAGCAAGTTGCCGCTTAGTGATTGGAAGTAGGATATAATTGTACGGCCTTTTTGCCAGTGCTTCTTCTCTTTAAGGTGGACAACCCCGCAGGGGATGTTGAAGTCTTTTCGGAAGCCCCACTTGTAGCGGGTGCGCAGGATGGGGGGGACGGTGGCGGCCAGGTGGTCATGGATGTTGGCGGCAGTGATGTAGGGAAGTGGTTCAAATAGTTCGGGGGATTGCCAGGTGTTCAAGGCGCCAGTGAAGTATTGGCGAGGGCAAAACAGTCGCAGTTGTTGGAGCTCATGATCGGCATGGTGGAGTAATGTGTGTTTACCCAAATGTTCTTGGAGTTGACGAAGCAGGCGGGCCGTAAAACGGGGTTGCTGCTTGAGGTGTGTGTTGTGAAGGCGCCATTGGTGCTCAAGGAAAGGCTGTAGGTGTTGAACTAGGGATGGTGGAAGCCCCTGTAGTTTGAGCCATTTGGTGTAGGCTGTCTTGAAAATG